CACACACACACACACACACATACCCACACATACACAAACAAACATTCACTCAAATACAAACTCAAAAACCAGTCAGTCAGCATTCTTTCAGAAAGCATAATACACACTTCCAGAGATAACATGTCGATAGCCTACTAACGAATCCTTTCATCTGTCTGTCTGTCCTTGTTTCCACCCGTCTGCCCGTGTCCGTGTGCGCGTGCAGAGAGAGATAGAACAGATCCTGTCGCTTGACGTCCATCCGTCCCGTGTGGTCTACGCTAACCCCTGCAAGATCAGCTCACACATTCGCTACGCCTCGCACGTTGGTGTTGACCTTATGACCTTTGACGGCGTCCATGAACTGGTCAAGATCAAGAAACTGTTCCCCAATGCCAGGTGAGACCATTTGTACGAATGCTACGCATGTGCGGTGGACACCGCAGGTATTATGATGTTAATTAATCGCATTTGTCGCCATACAATTCGAAGACATATATACATGCACAAGCTTACTCGGTTACTTGATTCGAAAACTTGGGTCTTCAAAGACGGATTCTATCAATAACTTCTCGCATTTCCTCATCGTTTCCTAAGAACAATTATAATTATTTGAGAAACGTTGTCTCTTATCATGTTTTTACCTTTCGATTAGGGAGTTGTGCATTTATTAACTGAATTGTTCTTACCCTGTTTTAAACTTCTTTATTGAAGATGGAACGTTCATATTCTTACCTGGGGTATTGGTATCAAAGACATACACGGTTCTTGGTGGCATTGTCGCGCAAGGTTGAATGTCTGTGCTAGAGTATCTAATATTGACAGTTCCAAAGACTGTTGTTCACTGGAGGTATTAGGCTACATTCACAGAAAAGATAGATACAGTATTTAGAGATTTAACAAGAGTGGAAATCGAGAAAGAGCGAAAGAGAACGAAAGGAACAGAGGATGACCCAAGTTGACCATTGTCCGTGTTTCCTCAGGCTCATCTTGCGCATCCACTCCGGCGGTGACAACACAGCACTACACAACTTTGACAAGAAATTTGGCTGCCACCCAAGGGCGGCACGGGGGGTGCTCAACAGGGCCAAAAGGATGGGACTCAATGTGGTGGGGGTCAGGTGAGGGCTTGTGTGTTTGTGTGTGTGTGTGAAAGAGAGAACGAGAGAGGGGAGAGAGAGAGAGAGAGAGAGAGAGAGAGAGAGAGAGAGACAGAAAAAAAAAACCCACAACAACAAACAAACAAAACAAAACAAACACACAAACAAAAAACTCGGTAAAGGGAGTGTCTGACGTAGTGACTCAGTGGCGCGGGCTTCCACACAGTGCCCGCTGCTGGCAGTTTCGTATTATCCCTGTTGTTTGATGACAGACAGTGTTGGTGGTCTAGTGGTTAGGCTGCCGGACTCGTTATCGTGAGATTGCAGGTTCGGGGTACGAGCGTCAGCTCGGTCTGACGTTGTGTCCTTGAGGAAAGGCACTGTGCACAGTGCACGAATGTTTCTATAGGAGATGGATGTAGACTTCGGAAGTCCCGCCTTTTAAATTAATATGACCAAAAACCGCGATTTCAGGGCGAACGCAAAAAACCCAAAAAAACAACAACACTCAACTAAAACAATTGAATCAACCCCCCCCCCCCCA